GGACACGGGGGCCAAGTGGCAGGCGGGACACCGGCCTGCAGAGGGCGCTCCGGAGGCTGGAAGAGCTAATTCCCGAGACGACCAGCAGGAGGCACCGCAGGGGTGTGTCCACATGTCTACACAAGGGATGGTCTCTTAAGTATTTGCCAGATCATGACATGCTGTAGGGGGGTGGCAGGATTTTCCTCCTTGATGAAGATATAGATATCTCAGTTAGGAGGAGTCCCAGATGCTCTTGATACTTTTTGACTAGTCAATGAGAATTTAGATCAAAGCCATAGGTGGTGGCTCAGTTTTTCTCCTGTATTTCTAGAACTTCCTGTTGTGTGCTGGGCTAGCTTCAGAAGAAGATGGTATCGTGTTATGGTGGAAAAGGCCAATGTACAGTACATGGTGTTTCAGCAGCACATCTCTGTTGTTGGTGATATTTTATGAGAAGTAGAGTGATAATTCTTTGCACCAGGAGATGGTGAGTTCTGTACCTGAGCGAGAGCATTTCCCATTAACAAGACAATTCATGGTCCAGAATAGTTCAGTAGAGCACGATTTAACAGTTGGAAAGGTGGAATTTTTTTGTTTTTCTCCACAAGTACTGCATAGATTCACAGGAATTCCTTGTACTGGAGTCTGTCTGCATCTGCCCAAGTTTTATGCCACACACATAAGAGCTCAGCTTCCTTCCACCTGATGCTTTTGTTTCAGCACATCAAAGAAACAAAGGAGATCTGTAGAGGAGAAGGGCACTTTGGTGACAGAGGTGACTAATGAGTTGTCATAGTGACTGGTTAGATTTTCTATTCTGCGATCTTTTTTGGTGGTGAGGCATTACCTACAATAGTGTTGTGGAAATTAACTCAGTTCCTGAGCCTGAGGCCAATTGTTATTGTTCCTTCTTGCCTGGACATTAGGTCAGTTTTGATCGCAGCCTGGTGGAAATTGTGGTCAGTCCAGGATAAGGACAGTTTCTTGTGTCCCCTGTATCCATTCCAAGTCTAAAATCAAGCTCAAATATGACTGGCAGCATGTCCAGGTCCAAAGATAACTTGTCAAAAACAGAGGGTGGGAAATATATAGAAAAGGTTTGGGGCTATTGTATCTGAGTTGTTGTCAACATGGATATGAAAAATCTCAGGATAAGTAGTCTTGGGGACTTCATTAACATATCAGACAGCAACTCAGGCAGTCCCTCTAGGAAACCTTTGCTCTTTGCAGTCTACAGATTAGCATAATGCACATGTATAACTTGTCTCTGGATTTGCAGAATGACTGGATCCTCTAATTTTTTTTTTTTTTGGCCAGGTAGCTTCTCATACATTTGGAATATGATGACTGATACCCCTCCACGGTTGCCTTGTAAAGGTCTAGGTTTGTGGTATACTGAGGTTTCAGTGACGCAGGTCAGGACCTCTTGAGTATAAAGGGCTTCCTGACAATTCACCTAACATTCATCAGCAGGAACATGATATCCTGATGTTTGTCTCCCCCTGTTGTAAGTTTGTATGAAATCACTGTTGTCTGACTGCATACAATTGGCAGCAAATTTATACCAATCTGCATTCTGGGTCCTAGTTTGCACTTCCTGTTTGCATTTCTTCCAGATAAGACTTGGACTGGGGAGGAGTGTTGGGTGTTAGTTGTGGCTGGTTTTGGCAGAGACCTGGGTGTGAACCAATTGGCCTAGGTTCTCGATACCTCTGGGCATTATGCTGTTGCTGTGAGAAGGAGCAACACTGCTCAAACTCCACTCCAGAGTAGCAGAAAGGGGGTTTGCAAGTAGGAGCCATTTTTACCTCCACTATTTTAGGTGCAGGTACTAGGCAGTTTGGGAATGATGGAAGGTGTGAGCTTGTGGTTTTCAGGGTTTCTGTGGTAAGACAGGCCCTTCTTTCTCCTGGAGGGGCAATGGGAGAGAGCATTTCCTGAGTGGGGGTTTCAAAGCTCACAGACCCAGGAAGTCCGTCTCTGAGGCTCTCTCTGCTTCCTGCTTTGCTGGTCAGACAGCACTCCTCAGCCTATGGAGGGTGCTTCTCCCTGGTGGAGGGAAGTGGCATTTGTGTTTTGGAATTGGAGCAGTTGTGCTCTCATTCACTTGTGCTGGTCACTCCTCTTCTTTGCCAGCTGCTGTTGGGTGGGAATGAGGAAAAAAATGAAACTGCAAAGTCTAAGCTGCCTTTAAGGCTCATTTCTGGCTCCCCATATTCTGGCTCGTTTGTGGGTTTTCTTCACCCTAGGCTCACGGGATACAGGATAAGACTGGCTTTCATGTTTTCTTTCCTTTTTGTGTTGTATTGATTTCACATAGTTACATAGGCCTCTATAATAATCCATGAAGCTTACACCATAGCTCCCACTACACAAAGATTTAAATGTCAGAGCAAGAAGTTACACAGGAAAAGATGTTAAATCTTTAATGTGGCTTATACATGTGCCTTTACCAAGCAATGAACTGAGGCTTAATATCATCTCCCCTCTCCCCCACCACACACGAACCTGTAACATAATAACCTATTTAAATCATGCAATTTTTTTCAAAGCAATATATTCCATCTATGAAACACCAAGATCCATTTGGAAAACACCCGTATGAATAGCTGATTCAATGCACTGGTTGGGAAAGAGGGCCAATTAAACGACTTTAACTTGATACCTCAAGAGAAGAGTGGAAATATTTAAGAGTAGGTTAGATAAATGTCTATTAGGGATGGTCTAGACAGTATTTGGTCCTGCCATGCGGGCAGGGGACTGGACTCGATGACCTCTCGAGGTCCCTTCCAGTCCTAGAATCTATGAATCTATGAATAAGAAGAACCTTGGGATTACAGTTCTGTAGTCTTAAAATTCCATTTCTCTGGCAAGGGCTGCATTTTTAAAGAACTCAGTGTTATTTAATGGCAGTAACCATGTAGAGCAGGAAATATGAAAGAGGTAGAATTTTAAAAGTTCAGGACTGTAGTTAGCTCAAGAGAGAACCTTGGGTCTGCCATTTGTGCTTGCACTGCACAGAGGAACAGGCATTGGTCATAGCTTGTGAGTAAGGATCTCATCTGGCCAATGACTACAGGGAGAGCTCTCCACCTGCAGAGATGAAGTGAGAGAAAGTAAACCCTCAGCCCTCACATCCAGAAGCCATACTGAGGACAAAGTGTTGCTGGTATTTTCCAGTCCCTGCCCACAAATCAGGCTTTGCTATGTGAATTAGAAAAACTCACAGTAGATTGGGCAGATGTTCAAAATATGACTGTGTGCCGCCTGGCTCCGCGAGGCTCCTTGAGCTTGTGCTTCTCTCCCCCTTGAATACGCACTTGGACATTGCGATAATCCTGGGGCGTGGCTCTTTCTTGATTGTGGGTGGGGAGAAGTGGTGCTATGTCCCAAATGCCACCCACTTGTGGCACCATGATGAGACACCACTTACAGTAAATCGGCAGATCTGCAAGTTCCCTTTGTTTTTTTACATAAGCATCGATGTTTAAATGATCGTTCAGAGGCCCACTGATGAACAACCCACTGAGATGAGTAGGACCGTTCAAAATCCTCAGAGCTGTTGTTTAAGGCTCTCTGCAGACTCTTCTCTGAATCAGTTATGACTTGTTTACATGGGAGATTTTTCTAGTTACATTGGTAATCATATCCATAAAGTTAAACTGCAGGCGTTATACAAGTATAACAACTCTTCATATTAGGCATACGAATGGCTTTTTCACCTTATCTTATACTGCTTCCAAAATGATATAAGCTAAACCAGAAAAAGGCACTCTTATATTGCAGTAAGAATGTCCACATGGAGGCCTGGTCTGTACTAGGTTGACATAAGTATGGAAAAATCCACAGCCCTGAGTGGCGTAATTAAGCCAACTTAAGTCCTCATGTAGAATTGTTCCATTGACCTAGCTACTGCCTCTCAAGAAGGTGGATTACCTGCGCTGATAGGAGAACCCCTCCCGTCTTCATACGTAGTGTCTACAGTGAAGCACTACCGCGGCACAGCTGTTCTGTTGTAGCATTTTAAGCGTATACAAGCCCGGAGACTTCTACTGGTATAACTATAGCACTTTAAAGTCACACCCTAACTTAACTTCCCCATGTAGACAAGCCCTTACACTCAATTCACATTTTAGAGGTTTTCTCTGCAACCATAACAGATGGAGACTTACTTTTTTACAATGAAAGCTGATACTCTGCAGTGTAACACAGCTGCTTCAGAGAGATGATGATGTGGCATATAGGTTTATACTGGCTTTTTCTAAGGGTTGCTCATGTCATATTCATGACTGTCTCGGCTGTAGGAGTTTGGGCCCAGTTGTAAGCTGGCTAATAAGGATAGTGTTATTAATGAGTGTAACTGGAGGTGAGTTCTGCCTCATGAACCTAGTATACTAGGCAGGAGAACACTAGTTAAACATATGGGACACATTCTGGAAACCCATGTATTTACTCTGGCAAAACTCTCAATAAAATTCATGGGAGGTTTTTGTGAGTAAGGATTTAGCCCATATAGAATCCAGAGGACACTCCTCACCAGGTTATAGCATTTTCCCCTACTTGCCACCCCTCACCCCCATGGACATATTTATTTACCCTCCTGTTTACACGCAGCCACCCTCTGAAACCTGTATTTCATCAATTTTCCTTTGGTTAAAGAGGGTCTAGAAGCCTAGACAGCCTTTTCAACACCATTCCCACTTTGATTAGTTAATATTTTTACAGTTCTATGTATTCATGTATATGTCCCGTACTTTATAAGTGCTAAGTAATCATCTTACTGACCAAAGGGATTCCTGCAGAGTGGCATAAGAAGCTCCCCCACATCCCAGGATCTGTCTTCATGGCTTCTGTAGCACTTTAGCCTTTACCACACCCAGGAAGCAAGATATTGAACTTGGGAATCAAATGCTGCTATCTCGTGAAGTCTAAGTTGGATGATATTTGCTGTCCCATTAAAATCCATATTGTACCATAATACCTTACCAGCAATCTGAGAAACAAGTTCTCATCCCTACCTGTGAACTGCAGTGTACCACCCAGCCGCTAGGATGAGGTTGATGACGACATCTACTGGAATTAGATCTGCTACTGCATCATTATTGACTTTGACAGTTTGCAGAATCCCTTTACCAGCCTGTGTGACAGAGGGAAAGAGTCAGTGACAATATGCCATGACAGGATTTCCTTGGCCTAGAGAGGATGCAGCATCACTTAGTCACTTTTCAAGCCCACTGTGGAACACAGAAGATCAGTCTGCCTCTATGGAGAGCCAGCGCTCACAGACTCATACACTTTAAGGTCAGAAGGGACCATTATGATCGTCTAGTCTGACCTCCTGCACCACGCAGGCCACAGAATCTCACCCACCCACTCCTGTAATAAACCCCTAACCTATGTCTGAGCTATTGAGTTCCTCAAATCATGGTTCAAAGTGCAGAGAATCCTCCAGCAAATGACCACTGCCCCACGCTGCAGAGGAAGGTGAAAACCCCCCAGGGCCTCTGCCAATCTTCCCTGGAGGAAAATTCCTTCCCGACCCCAAATATGGCCATCAGCTAAACCCTGAGCATGTGGGCAAGACTCACCAGCAAGACATCCAGGAAAGAATTCTCTGTAGTAACTCAGATCCCACCCCATCCCATCCCAGGCCAGTGGGCATATTTACCGCTAACAGTCAAAGATCAATTAATTGCCAAAATTAGGCTATCCCATCATACCATTCCCTCCATAAACTTATCAAGCTTAATCTTGAAGCCAGATATGTCTTTTGCCCCCACAGCTCCCCTTGGAAGGCTGTTCCAGAACTTCACTCCTCTGATGGTTAGAAACTCCTCTGATGGTTAGCGCTTTATATTCTCGTGTGGATCAAACTGTTTAGTGTTGTCAGAGGAAGTTGGAAATGTGATAAGCAAATGTCAGTAGAAGTGTATAAAAAGGCAGTGGCCTTGTTTAACTCATGATGATAAAAGGACATCCAGCAAGAAAGACATTTTTATGTTTTGTGGTAAAATTTTCAAAAGCACCTAAATGATTTAGGAACCTAAATTCCATTTTCAAAAATCACATGGGAGCTTAAATCCTATTGATTTTCAGTGAGACTTAGGCTCCCAAGTGCCTAAGTGCAACATTTTTGAACGTGCTCAAATGACTTCGGCACCTAACTTCCATTCTCAAAAGTCACATAGGCATTTAGGAGCCTACGTCTCTTAAAAGTCAATAAGCACTTTAGAAATGGCTAAGTCACTTAAGCGCTTTTGAAAATCTTACCCTGATCTTTTGGATTTAGCTATACATCCATTCTGAAGTTTACCTTCCAAGTTATGATTTGTTCCTAAAGTACCATCAGCGTGCGTGGTACTTAAACAAGACATGGTCCTTTCCCTGAGGGCTTACAGTTATAGGGTATGTCTACACTGCAACAACGGAGTGTAATGCAGCTCCAGGTTACATACGTGAGCTCTGTTTAATCTGACTAGCTTGGGTCCTGAAACACTGAAAGCACAGCAGTGTGAGCTTCAGCACTGGCTACCCAGGGTTCTAGGTGGCTTTGTACAGCCTGCACTGAAGGTCGCACTGCTGTGGCTTCACTGTTCTGGAACCTGAGCTAGTTAGATTAAAGCTAGCTGTAGTGTGTCTACTCAAGGTGCAGTCACACCCTGTGACTGCGGTCTAGACACACTCTAAGTTAAGATGTAACTTTGTTGAGTGCCAATTACAAATGTTGTGAAGAAGGGAGGAGGAAGTCAGAGCTTCCTCTGGGTTTGATGTAGTTGGTAATGCACTTCTCGGGGGTTCCATAATGATTTGTTTTTAACTGAGTGTTTGTGATGATGTTTCTGTGCAAGGGAGATTAGGGTTTGGAGGCTTCATGGAAGAAGGCTTTTAAAGAGAGACTTGAAGGAGCAAGAGTAGCAGCAGGGCAGACTGGATCAGCCAGGGTGTTTCAGAGAGGGGGTACAAGACATGGAGGTGAAAGTGGGGGAAGGAAACTGAGGGAGTGTGTTGGGCATGAGGCCTAAGTGCAAACAGCTGAGTGAAAAGTTATGAGGAAAAAGAGAGAAAGGCAGGAGCTAAGCAGTGTAATGTCTGGACTACAAGGATAAGGGACCTGAATTTGATGTAGAAGGCAACAGAAAAATCAGTGAAGGGATCTGGAGAACAAAGGATACAGTAACATCAGCAGGAAAGAAAGTGTTTCTGCACCCGCATTTTGGGCAGCTGTAAGAGACTAGGGAGGAGAAGATCAGTGTTACGAGAGAAGATTTGGAGCCAATGTAATCAGTGATCTTCAAGACAGATTGAAGAGAGATCATCCAAGATAGTTATGTCCAAACTCCAAAGCTCATTGCGAAGAGTTAGAGAGGGATCTCACAAAACCGGGGTGACTGGGACACAAAGTGGCAGATGAAATTAAACACTGATAAATGCAAAGTAATTCACACTGGAAAAAATAATCCCAACTACACATATATAATGATGGGTTTTAAATTAGCAGCTCAAGAAAGATCTTGAAATCACCTGAAAACTTCAGCTTAATGTGCGGCAGTGGTCAAAAAGGCTAACAGAATACTAGGAAAGGGATAGAAAGTAAGACTGAAATATCATAATGCATTATATAAATCCAAGGTGCATCCACACCTTGAATACTGTGTCCAGTTCTGGTGACCCCATCTCAAAAAGGATATGGTGGAACTGGAACAGGTTCAGAGAAGGACAACAAAGATGATCAAGGGTATGGAATGGCTTGTGTACGAGCAGAGACTAAAAAGATTAGGGTTGTTCAGCTTAGAAAAAAAGACTCAGAACAGGGATATGACAGAAGTCTTTAAAATCATGAATGGTGTGGGAAAAGTGAATAGAGGTGTGTTATTTACCCTTTCCCACAATACAGAAACCAGGAGACACTCCATGAAATTAATAGGAAGAAAGTTTAATACAAACAAGAGGAAATACTGTTTCACATAATTTAGTTAACCTGTGGAATTCATTTCCATGGGATGTTGTGAGGGCCAAAAGTATAACTGAGTTCGAAAAAGAAGTAGGTAAGTTCATTGAGGATAGGTCCATCAATGGCTATTAGCCAAGATGGTCAGGCATGCAACTCCATGCTCAGTGCCACCGTAAACCTTTGACTGCCAGAAGCCAGGAGGGGAAGACAGGGCTGGATCATTCCAGCTGCCCTGTTTTGTATATTCCCCCGCAAGCTCTGATACTGGCCACTTTCAGAGACTGGATACTGGGATAGATGGGCTCAGTATGACCGTTCTTATCTTCCCCTGCCACTCCTGAGCTGCCCATGCCTATCAGGGCCTTTGTGTGGCTGTTGTAGTGTCCATGTGTGGTGAATGGCACACACTGCCATGATCCAAAGGGGAGAGCAGAGTGCTGGTTAACGGTGAGCTGCGGGGGGAAAAGAGAGCGATGAGCAAAAGGACAAGCCTTGGTGGAAGCTGCCAAAATCCTTTCCCCAACCTTTCCTTCCCTCTAAGGCAGGAGTGGAGCTTGCACAGGAAGCGGGGGGAGAGCCAGAGATACTCAGCAGCCACAAGGTGGGGAGAAAGGGGAAGAGGATTTTGCAACATCACCTATTTATAAGCAATGTTCCAATGTGGTCATCACATCAAACTACTGTGATACAATTCTTTTTTGTCAGTCTGTACCTCCCTCAGATAATGAAGTACCTCGCTAGCTGTGAAAGGTTGAGGACCACTGCTACAAACAAACAGAGCATATCCAGCCCTGCATAACCACTTGTCTGAAATCTGGGCTGAAAAGCCTTGCTAGAATGATTGTTTTTAAAGTTTGTTCTTAGCCCATAAACAATGCATATGTTTTATGTCATTCTGATGCTTATTAAAGATATCAGAGTTACAAAAAAGTTGCAGATAAGGTATAATCATGTAAGCTTCCCCACCCAGCTCTGACAATTTACCTCAACCATATCCTGCAGCAACCTTCTGTTGTTCTAGTCTTGGGCCACAAAACAATTCTGCCAAAACACTTCAGTTCTAACTTACATCATCACCTTCTGCTAGCCCATTCCTAAGCTACACACCACTGGCAGCAGCATGTAGAGCTGTCTCCACACTCCGGTGTGTAGTTACACGTGTCAGTGAAAGGTTCTGGCCGAGGGAAGGCAGGGGGAAAGGCTTCAGCTACTCCCTGCTGCCAGAGCCTTTCTCCGCAGCAAGGAAAGGCTCCGCCTGACAGAACCACCCCCCTTCCCGTTGCTGGAGTCTTTCACTGCAGCAGGGAAAGACTCCAGCAATGGGGAGGCAGCGGGACACTACACTGGTAAAAATAGCAGTGTAGACAGGGAGGCACTACTTGGGTGAGTAGAGAGCTGTGTAGGGTGTGTACTCAAGTACTTACCCACAGCTGTCAGCCATGCCTCCACTTTACTCACCTAAGCCCTGCCTCACCAGCTACACTGTTACTGATACCCGGGCTGGGGAGCTATGCAGTTTGTGCACTGCATGCCCCCCAAACAAGCGTGCTGTGTAGATGCAACCTTAGTGCTCTCTTCAGAAGAAACAGCCAATCATGTTGAATTCTGAATTTTGTGATGTGAACAAATGGTGACCACATACAGGTGGACAAACTCACATTCAATTGTGCCCCAAATTGCTACTTGAACCCACTAGAAGAGAGAGGCTGATGCATGCTTATTTACCTATTGTAGTAGTTATGACATGTTATAAACATACACTCTATTCATATTGATGGTCATATGTATTTGAAGTAGATCTTCGATATACAAATAAATATTAATATATAAATCAAACAAATTGAATGCTGCACATTATTTGATTCATTATATATAGTACACTATTTCTGTATAAGGCATGTCCTAATTTTTGTATCAGATTGTTGACATTTTCTCTTTGGTATAATAAAAGCTACTTCAACTGAGGTCTCAGAGATCACTTGCCTTTTTGAATTTGACATTTTTAGGCAGTATCCCAGCTGAAGAGCTCGGGGGCCAATCACAATTCAGGACACATACCAAAAGCAGAGTTATTCCCCATAGCAGCTAATTAGCTTTGTAGGGGGAAGGAAGGCTGTGCTACACTAAGACATAATTCTTCAGTTATAGGCTAGCAGAAATGTGATTCACTTCACACAACCTCTGAA